GCCTCCATGTGGTGCTGGGATTTGAACCCAGTCTTCTGCAAGAGCAGCCAGTGCTCTTGACAGCTGAGCCACCTCTTTAGCACTAAAACTCTGGTATTGGAAGTATTTGTATGTCTTTTGTCCAGTTCAAAGATTCCTAATGTTTTTTCCTTCTCTACCTCAACTGCCAAAGGTGTGCAACACTTTTGTCAGTAATAATAATTATTACATTGATTTTTTTAGAAAATATTTTATTTTATTTTATGTGTATGACTGTATTGCCTGCATGTATGTGAGTGCACCCATGTCGTGCAATGCCGCAGAGGTCAGAAGAGGGCTTCGGATTCCCCTGGAACTGGACTTAAGGACGGTTCGTAGCCGCCATGTGGTGCTGGGAATCGAACCCGGGTCCTCTGCAAGAGCAGCCAGGGGTCTTAACCGCTGAGCCGTCTCTCCAGCCCCACATTGATTTTTTACTACAGGCGGGAGATGGGTGCTCCTTACATTCACTGTTGCAATCTTCTTGTGCTATTTGCTGTGTTACAAAAAAGTCACACCTCCAGGGCTGGAGACTTGGCTCAGCGGTTAAGACCACTGGCTGCCCTTGCAGAGGACCCTGTTTTGGTTCCTGACTACACAAGTTGGCTGACAACTGTCTGTAACCACAATTCCTGGGGATCTGATGCCCTCTTCTGGCCTCATCAAGCATTGCATGACATGGGTACCCTCACATGCAGGGAAAGCACTCATACACATATAAAGAAATTTTAAAAAATTTAAAATATATCATACCTCGAGGAATCTAAGAATTTGGGAATTTTCTAATGGCATTGTTGTATTATTGTAAATCAGGCTAATTTGAAGTTTAGTAGCTTGAGAAGCCCACAGCTACATTTTCAGGTGTGTCTTTTCCTTCTCTTAACCCTAGGGCTTAAATCCGTATTCAAATTTCTTAATAAACTCTGCTTCTGAAAAGTTCCGTCACTTTGGTTACACACTGCAAATACGAAGGCAGAGAAGGCTTTTCACCCTCCTGTTCCACTTGTAAGTGCGACAGGAAAGCCCCAGGCGGCATACTGCTGCACTCTTGTTCCTTCCCTGTCTCTCCCTCTCTCTCCAGTACACTTAGAGAGTTTTGTACAGTGTGACCCATTTATCTGCTAACAGTAGTTCTAAAAAGTAGGATGACTGTTTTCCTGTATTTATAGCTACTATGATTAAAAGGATTAGACCGATTTTCTTTGAATATCGACAGTTACTTCTAATACTTGGTGAAAGTTTTGTGAAAATGCAGTCAGTTTAATAATAGAAATAAAGTGTCTTGTGAGTAGTACAAAGTACTTTTCCTTCTAAGAGTGTGCTAGATCATTTACTGAGAATAGCACTCCATAGCAAGTGCGTACACTTAGAGCATGGGCACACACCGGAATGTTCTCAGCTGTAGAACTGACAGATTAGACAGCAAGAGGACGGATCACAGAAGAGCTAAGCTTGTTTGACAATACATACGTGTTGAAAAGAGATTAATTGTTAGAGTAGGCAGTGCCGTTACTTTGTGCTGCCTTTAAAGTCTAGTTTGTATTTGACATTTCATCATTATCAGAATTCAACAAATTCAGTTGTTCAGTAGCCACACATGGCTAGTGCCTATCATTCTGGACAGTGAAGATCTCTCTAGGTTCGCAGTACCCATGGACTGTTGTGCAAAGGAAGCATATAAAATACATAGGAAAACTTAGGTGAGTTCTAGAACAAGCACTCAGGAAACGTAAGTGTGCTCTCCACTAGGTTAATGCCTTGTTGTCTTTTGTCAGTTGTAGCACATAGAGCTGTAAACCTCCAAGTCATTAAAATAGTGGGGGGGGGGTTTCTCCAAATTTAAGAAAATAAAATGTTCTAGTTATTGAACAATAGGAATCAAGCTTTTACTGACTTTGTTTTCTATCTTTCCAAGGTTCAATTTTTATTGAAAATTGTAGTTGAAATGTACTTTATGATTAGCCATTAGCTGGACTATGATCTGTCTTCTGCTTTCTTTTCTCTTTTCTGAACCAGTCAGATGAGATCTGGTTTAATTTGGCCAATTAGAGAATCAGAGTCAGACCAGAAATTTTGTTCTCTGAAACCAGTTGTGGGTAGAGAGGACAGAAGTGCTTTTGGCTTCTACTAAAAATATTTGTGTAAGCCGGGTGTAGTGGCACGTGAGTTTAGTTCTAGCACACAGGAGGCAGGGGCAGGCTGATCTCTGAGTTATAGGCCAGCCAGGACTACATAGTGAGACTGTCTCAAAAAATTTTAAAAATTTAAAAAATGGAAAATAAAACAAAAACCACGTGTACGTGTGTGCACACACAATCGTAAAATTTGGACAGAATAGTATTCTTGCATCTTTTAAGTATAGTGTAGCATTTGTTTCCCTTGGTTTTGACAGTATCCTGCCTGGCTTTAAGGTTTAGTTCATGCTGCTGGATTCTAGAATTACTGAACTTCATTTTGTTTTTCAGTTATGCCACTCAATAAGCCTCAAAAGGAATAGTTTAATCAGAGGCAAGCAGGGTGTGGTGGTATACATCTTGACCAGCACTGGGGAGGCAGAGGCAGGCGGATCCTGTGAACTCAGGGCCAGCCTGGTCTACATAGAGAGGCCATGTTTTTTGTTTTTTTTTTTTAAAGTGGTGAATTAGACAGATTGTTCTTTCGGGTCTGGGGGTGATGGTTACAGGTAGACAGTGGACACCCGAAGCAGAAGTCCAGTGTCAGCTGTTTTCTGGGTTTGCTTGATGAATGAGGAGAGTGGAAGGCCCTCGGTGGTTAGAGAATTATACCATGTTTAATGCTGGATATATTCCACGAGATCTGTTAAAACATAGTATAGAACCCCCTACTTTTAATCAGTAATGTTGGGAGGGAATAGAAACAAAGTACCAACTGGTTGTTTGGCTAAAATATGTGACATACGCAATGTAGGAGCAAGGGCTTGTCTGGCACAGTTTTCAGAGGGTGTAATCCATCACGACCAGGGAGGCATGGCAGTGCTGCTCATGCAGTGGCAGAGCAGCGTCAGAGAAGTGCCGGACCTCTGCTGCCTTTCTCCTTCCTCCGCTCTTACCTGTCCAGGACCTTGCCCAAGGAGTGGTGTCTACGAGGACTAGTTTTAATTGTCAGCTTGATGCCTTCTAGAATCACTTGGGATGGGCGTCTCAGTGAGGAATTGTCTCAATTACGTTGACCTGTGAGTTTGTTTGTTAACCCATGCTCTCACTTGGGCTAATTGAGACGGGAGGACCCACTCTGGGTGTGTACGGCACCATAACATGGGCCGAGCCCTCGACTAGATGAAAAGAAAGCCAGCCAAGCACTAGCAGGTTTGCGTTCATTTGTTGCTCTTTACTGTGGATGTGCTGTGACTACCAGCTTCCAGCTCCTGCTGCCTTGACTGTCCCACAGTGATGACTTGTAGCCTGGATTTGTACAAAGAAGCCCTTTCTCCCTTAAGTTGCTTTGTTAGAGTATTTTATCACAGCAACAGGGAATGAAACTTAGACAATGTCCCCCCAAATTCATGGTGGAGCCTCCTTTCAGTTTATTCTTAGGGAAATGCCCTCATAAGGCACTCAGGTGATCAGAATCCATTCCAGTTGACAATGAAGATTAACCATCGTACCACCCGTCAGCTTAGAAATATTGTAGCAGGAAAAACAGCAACTGTAATTTCATTGCCATTTTTATTCTTTAGTCACAATAATACGGCATTTTCTTTTACTGAAACTGTGAGCCCCCTCCATGCACACATCCACATAATAACAAAGCTCCAGACTTGTCCTAGCCCCAGAAATCACCCCATTTTTAGAAGAGGGGTTTTCTGTCCAAAAACACTAGCAAATTCCAAACTTCAAGAGTGAATATGGCTCCCCATTTCAGGGCTTCCCTTGTTTAATTTTTAAAAATGTTTACATTTTACTTATTCACTTATTTTTCAGAATTTTGAGAGTCTCACTGTGTAGCCCTGGCTGGCCTGGAACTCGCTATATGGACTGGGCTGGCCACAAACTCATAGAGGTCCCCCTGCCTCTGTCTCTCCAGTGCTGGGATTAAAGGTGTGCCCCACAATCCCTGGCCACCCTTTCCTTCATAACTTTGGCAACTCTAATGAGCGTCATTGCGAGTTCGAGCCTTCAGGTTTCCTGGCACTCCAGTAGGAAAGGGATCTAAATGACTCTGTCCTAGATGGACTTGGTATTGCAGTAGAACACAGACATGTTTGAATGGGCCTGATAAAGCAGGTATTTACTTAACTACATCTAAATTTCAATGAGAGGAGCAGAAATAAAAATCAAGATTTTTTAGTACAGTTTTTTCATGTGTTTTTAAAGGACCTTTAAATTTTTTATGATTTTTATTAGCATATGTTGATTATACATAATAATGGATTTTACGAAGGCATTTTCATAAGTATATAATGGACATGGTAGTACACACCTTTAATCCTGGCACTTAGGAGCCAGAGCTCTGAGTTCCCAGCCAGCTGGGAACATAGATGTCTGTGAGGCCAGCCTGGTCTACATAGTGAGTTCTAGGCCAGCTGGGGCTACAGGGAGACCCTGTCTCAAAAAGACCAAAAAAACCCACAAGTATATAATATGATCATACTCACCCTCATTTTTAATCAAATGTTTTCACTGATACAATAAAATGAGATAAAATTTAAAATGCAGTTGTAGTCTGTTATCTGTCATAATCATGTGAATTAACTTATTACATAGTCTTAGTAGTAGTGCCAATATAAAGAAGGACTGGTTGATTAACAAAACTGTTAAACTCATAATGTAGTTCAAAACTCCACACTTTATAATCTTGGATAAATTTTCCTCTTTTTTAGAAATACAAGGTACTCTAGATTAGAAAATTTAAAGTTGTTTGTTGAAGGATGTAACGTGCCCAAATATTAATTCAGTTTTAGAGTTACTAGTGATTTTAAAGTTCTTTTTCTTTTTCTTTTTTTCTTCTGTTTTTCTTCCCAGATCCAAGTATTTTAGAACATGCTCAAGAGGGGAACACTTAACCATAGAGGTGAGTCCTAGGAGCTTTCATAGGAGTCAAACTGTCTGGAATTCTTTTCCTTTGAGTTAATTGGGAAGGACTCAGACCCAGATTTAGCATGGATTGTTTATTTCAGTACCATTAGCTGGTTTTGGAGTCCGGATCACAAATGCTCGGTATGCACTCAGCTTTCTTATTTTCTTTTTTTTTTTTTTTAACTTTTCATTTAACCACAGGGACTTATGAAGTTGTAGTTTCTATTTTCAGACAGGGGCTCACCAAGTTGCACAGGTGGCTTCATGCTCAGTCTGTTATACAGGCTGACTTGGAACTTTCCTCCTGCCTCTGTCTCCAGAGTAGCTGGGATTACAGGCCTGCACTACCAGGCCTGGCCCAGTGTTGTGATTTCTAATGGACAGAAGAATAATTGGGGCCATGGGGAAGCATGAGCTGAGTGCAGCAGAGTCAGAGCCACGAATCCACCGAGGAAGTGTCGAGGTGTTTCACCGAGGAAGTGTCGAGGTGTTTTCGCTGCATGGAGCACTCCACCAGGCGCTTGGGAACGCCGCTGCGTGTGTTCTTGCTGGGCCACTGAGAAGCCAGAGTAGCCACTCAGAGGCTTAGGCCAGCAGAGAAATCAAACTATAATATCCAGTTTACAAGTAGCACAAAATAAATTCTAGTCCCAAACTACTGGGCTGTCGGATGTGAACATCATACTCCCTGCTTCCTGTCTGAAATAGGCAGCAGCGAACTAGGGATTTATTTAAAAAACATGAACTAATACAAAAAATGTTAATTTTGAGCAGCTTATAGATTCTTCTGGTTTTTTTTCCTTTAAGTAGCTACTTGTCAAGCTATATTTTTTAATGCAAATATTTTAATAATATAATAGTAATGTCTTACAGAGGTCATTTGTTATAATAGTATTTTATTATATTATAAATTATCTACATTCCTAACCCTTTAAAAAGACTATCACTCCCAGCTAGTAGATGTTCAGTAAGTAAGTAAATGAGCAGAAATGAGTGAATGCACACAGTTATTTAAAGAAATGCTTTTTTGGCTCTTTTTAGTCTTTTTTTTTTTTCTTCTTCTTCTTTTTTTAAGATAGGGTCTCACCGTGTAGCTCTGGCTGGCCTGGAACTTGCTATGTAGACCAGGCTAGCCTTGAACTCACAGAGCTCTTCTTGCCTCTGCTTCCCAAGTGCTGAGTTTAAAGATGTACACCACCACACCTGGCTTAGTTTCTTAATTTCTGTTTTTAGGACATTAACTAATTTGTTCAGTTTTCAAGTGGAAATTTCTCATAGTGTGGATTTAAAAATCAGGTACAAGTTTTAGTTTATAATGCTATTTCTGCTGTATGTAAAAGAGAATTACTTTTAAGGTACTAAAAATGACAAAGTTTCTTGTGAGCTACATACACTGAACACATACCCCTCCTGACACTTACGTTTTGTACTTTCAGTTTGAGAATCTAGTAGAGAGCGAGGAGGTAAGTACTTAACTTGCTTGTTCTTACTAATCACCATATTAGTTGCAGCAATTTTTATTTAATTTTATTTTTACTTTTTGTCTCTTCTATGTCATTTCCTTTTTAGATTAATTTACATTAGTAAGAATTTGAAATTTTCTACTATATTGTGTTTATAATACTGTTTTGGGGGGTTTTATGGGGTGTGTGTATGTGTTTGTTGTTGTTGTTGTTTTCCTTTTATAGAACTCCAGAAACTTCACAAAGGGGTATTTCAAATGCCTTTCCTTTATAAAAGTAGAATACTTCACCAATCTAGAATTCATAGTTTTGTGAATTTTTGAGGTTGGAATGTGTTCAGAGGGTAAAGTCAGTTTCTGGCCATAGCCGTTACCTCTCATCAACTGCTTAATGTTGAGTTTCTGTATCTCAGTTTATCTAAAACTCAGTCAGTTTTAAGATGAATCCTAAGTATAGCAACGTTAAAATATAAAAAAAAAAAAAAAAAAAAACATTTTAGAGTCAGTGAAATGTGCTAGACATCTACTCTGCAGAGGTGTAATTAGGAGAACTTCAGTTTTTGTGCTAACTCAACTCTAATGGTGTGAGTTGGTGCAAACTGCTTACCCTCCCAGGGGCCTCCTCCCACATCTCTGCAGGTGGTTACATGGCAAGTGCTACAAGTTCTGACTCTAGATTCTGGATTTCTTTCTCTTTTTCTCCCCTAAGAAGAACATGTATCCAACTTTTCTTTGAAAAAAAATTAAACAATTGGGGCCAGTGAGATGGCTCAAAGGGTAAAGATAGTAGCTGCGAAGTGTAATGACCTGAATTTGATACCCAGGGTTCACATGGTGGAAAGAAAGAACCGATTCCCATGCGTTGTCCTCTGACTTCCACACCTGTTCATGGCGCATGCACACACACACACAAGTAAAATGTAATTTTAAAGTTTTAATGTAAATTAAGCTTTAGCTCAACATTCCTGGTATGTATAGGATGCTAGCATATTGAATCACCTCAGAGTATTCTTACAGTAATTGAAACTTGTCCAACTCAGCATCTCCCAAGTTAATTTGATATAAAGCCTTTCAAGAAATAATACAGCGGTAGAGAGCTGGCTCAGCTGTTGAGAGCACTGGCTGCTCTTGCAGAGGCCCCAGGTTCAGTTCCCAGCACCCACATGGTGGCTAGCAGTCATCAGTAACTCTAGTTCCAGGGGATCCAACAGCCTTTCTTGGCCTCCGCGGGCATTACACATATGTGGTGCACATATATACAGGCAAGGAAGACACTCATACACATAAAATAAAAATAAATCAAAAAAGATTTTTAAGTGTCTAAAAAAAGTGTCTATACATCATCTAGTAGGATGCAGGTTAGAAAACTGCATAGCCCTTTGTTTGCCTAATGAAGCAACACCAGAGTTCATGAACCTTCCCTCCTCCCCTTCCCAAGGCCGTCTTCACCTTCGTGCCTTTTTCTTCACAAACAGTCGTTCTTTCAGCCTCCTGTTTCTTCTCAGCAACATACTGCAGTTCAGAAGACTTGTCGTTTGACTTGTTTTCCTAAGGTGCTTTTTATTTGATTGGTTAAGGGCTTTTGGCTTGTTCTTGTTTTCTGTTAACCAGTGTTTCCACATGTGTTTGTCCTAGTTAAATATCATTCTGTTTTGTGGTGCTGCTTCTGAAATTAATTTGGACCATCTGGAATTTTATATCTACTGTTAACTCCATGATGTATTTGAGGTCTTGGATATAGTTTATATCCAAGTATAAGAAATATTTATAAGTCCAAATTAGTCTTAGAATAACAAAACAACTACTGAGTTTCATTGCCTTGTGAAAGAAAATTGAGCCAGTCAATTATAATTTCTTGTTTAATTTTTGTTTGTGCATATATAAATATGTGTTTGTTTGTTTGTTAGTTTTGAGACAGGATCTCACTGTGTAGCCCTGACTGGCCAGGAAGTTGCTGTGTAGGCTAGGCTGGCTTCAAACTCAAAGAACTCTAACCATAGCTCTAACCTGTCTCTGTCTCCCAAGTGTGGGGATTAAAGCCATAAACCACCATGCCCAGCTATGTATGTATTTTAATTATGTGTGTGTGTGTATCTGAGTGTGGCTTCATGCACATGAGTGCAATGCCTGCCAAGTCCAGAAAAGGGTGTTGTATCCCTGGAGCTGGAGTGATAGCTACTGTGACCTGCCTGACATGGGTTCTGGGACCCAAACTTGGGTCTTCTGCAAGAGCCGTGCATGCTTGTGACCACTGAGCGGTGGCTGCAGCCCCTGCTCCTAATTTCTTGTAGTTACATCCCATGAATATATCCAGTTTTTCTTGTAGTTGTATCAATGAGTGCTGAGTTAGCAAGTATTATCTCCTAGGGTAAATATAGGGGTAGATTCCTGAAGCCTCTGGTCACATCATCACCTGATTGGTTTATAAGCCTGTTTCATGTGTGTTTCTGGTGAAAACATCCTTAGCATATACTACTGACTCATTCATTATCTTTGAACTTGAACAGACTGTTTGCATGCCTTAGTGAAGCTCACCTGCCACACATAGTGTCTCTACGAGGCACATTACAGCCTTCTTGTGCTTAGGAACACCAAGCAGCACATGGGCACTATACTTTGGGGTATTTTAAGGCAGGGTCTTCCTGTGCCAGGGTTTTCTGCACAGTGAAACCACAGACAAATCACAAACTTGCAAGCAATGGAACACTACATATAAAGGAACATTTCAGTAGGAATGTAAATCTTGAGCTTTGGAATCTGATGGTGAAGACAAACTGCATTGAGAGCATGGTGAGTGCTACCTGGGGCATCCTAGCTGTGGAGGTTCATTGCAAAAGTAACAAATATTTGTTAGAAAAATAAGAAATATCTAGCAAATTGTTGGTATATGATTGAGCGAAGTATTAAACTGAGTTGTCTTTAAAATATAAAACAGTAAAGGTTTTTGTTTCAAATTCTTTTGATAATGAAATTTGCCTAATGTGACAGAAACAGGTAAGTAAGAAAATGTTTTTGATGAGATGGAAATTGGCTTGCTTTGAATTGAATTCAACTAGTGAAAATTCTTTGTTTACCTCCATGCAGGGGGAGAGTCCAGGAAGCAGCCACAGGTAAGGGTTTTTAAGCAGCGAAAAGAGTGTGTGGACTCTTAAGAAGGTCTCTGAGAACTCAGACCTTATCATGGGCTTCTTTGAAGCAGTTTATGTTTCAGAACCCTAATTTTCTCTTTCTGTGAAATTGAGACAAATCATCCATTTCCAAAATTCTGTTTTAAAGAGTAAAAACTTTGATTATATCAGTGTCTCAGTACTTTTTATTGAGCCTAGGTTATATATCTTTTAGTTTCCTTTTTTGGAGATAAAGTCTCCCTGTAGCCTCAGCTGGTCTGGAACTTGCTATGTAGACCAGACTGGCCTCACTCTCATAGAGATCCGCCTGCCTTTGCCTCCCGAGCACTGGGACTAAAGCCGTGCGCCACCACCACACCTGGCTTCTTTTAGGTTTCTAAAAGCCACTTCATATTGATAAATACGTTTCCTTTTGTGTTTCCGGCATTGCCCCCTTTCCTTCTTTATGATATTCTAAAACTCTACGAATCAAAACAACTTTTACAACTTCAAAAGTAACTCAAACCTTGGTAGTATAATGTATTTAAGTAGCCTTATTTGCTATTAAAATTGCATGCAGTACTTGTAAAAGAATCATCTGCCTTTAACTTGAAGGACAGTCCTTCATGTCAGGAGAATATTTTCACATTGTTTCATATTTGCAGGACATGGGCCTTAGACACTGTTTAGTTTAGCAAGCATTATTATGCAGCTGTCATGTAGCAGTGCTAGACATTAGAATTACAGACTCAAGCATGGACTCTGTTTGATGCTGCAGGTCTGTAGCGCAAGCTCTTGAGTGGCAGGCACAGGTGAAAATAGGCTTATATACCCACACTGGGAGGATTGCCTTTCTCAAAAAACAAGGGTGGGGGTAGAGTGTTTGCCTCGAATGCATAAGGGGTAGTATATGCAAGGCCCTGGGTTCAAGTTCTAGCATTGCCAAAAATAAATATATAAAAAGTAAATGTGATCTCTGTTTCAGAGGAAAGTGTATCCTAGAGATGATGCTTCAGAATGAGGTGTGAAAAGCAGTTCAACAGCCTTTATGGAACTGCTCGGAAACCTGACTAAATGGACCATGGACGAAGGGCTTGGGGAGGCCAGAGAGGTAGATAGGGTTCTGAAAGTAAAGCCCTGAGATCAGTGTACAGTGTACCGAGTTTATAGTCTGTGATACATGTTTGAGAGTGTAGGATGCCCGTGGGCTAGATGGCTAGAGAAAGCCTATAAAGGTTAGCAGAGTTCACATTTCTTAAAAGGCTATAATGAAAAAAAAATTGTATCATCTTACTTAACTGCTGATACATAGACTATTATAGTATTACAATAGATAGCTTTTACTTAACAATTGAAGTTGTATCCAGTTGCTTTAAAACATTTTGAGGGGCTGGAGAAGATGGCTCAGAGGTTAAGAGCACTGGCTGCTCTTGGAGATGACCTGAGTTTGAATCCCAGTACCCACATGGCTGCTAACAATCAACCCTAACTCCAGTTCCAAGAGATCGAATGCCTTCCTCTGACCTCTGTGGACATTGCATGATACAGGTGCACTTGCATACATGCAGGCAATATACTCATACACATAAAATAAAAATAATAAAATATTTTAGAAAACATTGTTGGCAGTAAAATTTCAGAGTTTCACTGGTCTTGTGGTTTTATTTGGACTCGGGTTCATCAGAGGGTTTTGTTTTTCTGTTTCCTTTCCCTTCCCTTTTTTTTCTCTAGGCCACTTACTGAGGAAGAAATTGTTCACTTACAAGAGAGGCATTATGATTCTATTGCTGAAAAACAGAAAGATCTTGATAGGAAAATACAGAAAGAGGTAAGTAGTCTCTCTTGTTGCTTAAACACATAGATGAAGCCTCATGTGTGGCCAGCAGTCATTGGACCTATATTTCAATACCTGTAGATTAAAAATGATTTAAAAGCAGCTTGTTATAATTTTCTTAGTTTGATTTCATTTTAAGAGATTGTGTGATACCAAGTAATAAAGAAATCATCTTCTAAAGACAATTTCTTAATTTGCTAGCAGGAATGCTAGCAAGAAAAAGTTCCTTGTGCTTAAAATCGACTTTGAAACAGATTATTCTGTTTCACAACAGAATTCTGTTTAAGCTTTTGTTTGTTTGGGGGTTTTGTTCTCAATAAACTTAAGTACTTCTAACAATCATGAATCTTACATATATGGCATATAATTATAGTTTCATTATGACTGAACGAAACAGAATTACACCTAAAAAGCAGTTTTGTGAACTGGGCGTATGGTACATTGCCTAGAATCCCAGCTCTTGATGGGTACAGACAGGAAGATGTGAGTTTGAGGCTAGTCTGGGGAACATAGCAAGTTTAAGGCTAGCCTGACTCTTGTCTCAAAAAAAAGTCAACTCCTAGCCATATAGCTCAGCAGTAGAATACTTGGCTACAGTCAAGGCCCTGGGTTCAATCTGCAACACTAAAAAATAAGTAAATAAATAAAATCAAAATGTAAAACATTTGTTTCATATCAGTGATTTCAAATGTAGATTTAATGTAAACAATAGATTCTAATACTAGTCTAAAGAAAAAATAGGTTGATGCTTGAATTAACTTAGATTTGCCATCGAGTACTAAGCAGTGTGTATGCTGTTAGGAAATTAAACTTGAAAACAGATTTTGAATAATGACAGTATAAAATTGAGAAATGTACACGCATGTCAGTTAGGTGGAGAGACATGAATTTGGGCAAAGCAGAGATGTGAGTAGCTGTGGTTTTAAGGGTCTTTGACTTTGTAGTCAGGGCACTAAGCCTTAGAAGGATGCCAAAAATGAAGGGATTGTATTTTCTAAGAGTTTTGTAATGTCTTTGATGTCATCTGTGTTATTTTATAAGAGGAGAATCTGAAATGAACAGTCACAGATAGCAATTCTGATATACTTTGTAGATCTCAATTATTCATGATTTATTTTTTGTTTTGTGAATGGAAACTGGTTTTTAGAGCAGTTAGGTTCTAATTTTGTTAATCCTTATCGTTTTGTTCATGCACAGTTAGCCTCACAAGAAGAGAAGTTAAGGCTAGAAGAAGAAGCTTTATATGCTGCCCAGCGGGAAGCAGCCAGGGCAGCGAGGCAGCGAAAGCTCTTGGAGGTGAGGGGAAAAGACCCCAACCTACATCAGCCTTGCTTCTCTCCTGCTTTTCTCTGACAAATCCAAGTTGGGACTTCCCCTAGAATCAACGGCTTCTTCTTTAATGGAGAACGTGTTTGTGCATATATTCTTAGAAACTCAAAGGCAATAATCAACTTCTAGAAATAATTTAAAATTACATACTTAATATTAAATGGTGTTTAGCTTTAGGCTAGAGAAAGCGAATTCTAGTGGACCCTAAAAGTGAACTTCAGTGCTCTAAATTTCAATTATTTGAGGGAAAATTTTTCTTTAGAGGGAAAATATTTCCAAACTAGTCTTGAATATAATTTCCAAAGCATTTTAGTGTGTTTTCATGAAGATTTTAAAAAACAATTCTTTGAATTGCAAGGATCTTATTCTTAATACCAGGTGAGCCATATGATTGATGCCCCACAAGGGTATAGTTTAATTGTCACTTTACTCACATTTGGGACGTTGAGAGTTCAGGTCCTAAGAAATCTGGAGCATACTATCAGGGAAGGTAGATTTACCTTATCGTACCATGACATGGCAGCAATATGGCATCACATAGTGCCTGACAGCTGTCAGGAACAGACATACAGAGCCATGGCTGAGTGTCAGGATCCCTACTCAGTAGGTTACTGTGTTTCAGCCTCACAGCAATCCTAAGAGAAAGGCGATATGTGAACTCTCTAGATGAGGAAGCTGAAGAACCAACCCTCAGCTAGCTCACAGTGGTGCCAGCTAGTCTGCTACTTGGTGTCTTCCTTCCAAGTTACCCAGGGATCCACTGCTACAGTGGTAGTGGTACAAAGTGTTCAGTAGTCCAAAATTTAGACAGACTGAGAAATCATGTCTCCCATTAATTTCTGTATGAACTGCGTTTTTTTCACTCTTGGGTGTTAGATTTGTTTTGGTTTTGTTTTTAGTACATTCTAAATAGTGGAAAACTTAAAACTCACTTTCATATTCTATGAAACTTTCTTTTGGCTTTCCTTTTATAATACATTCTCTACTGTGTCTTTGAGAGAATAGAGATCCCATGTGCAGCGTGCGTCAGTTTCAGTGGTCTATGTTCTCTGTGCTCTTGCTTCCTTGATTAAATGTTTGCTATAGGAATGTATATTCTACATACTACACACAGGCACACAAATATACAGACATGCAGCAATTCATTTGCTTTTCATAATAAGCCAGGGTCTGCAATGACAGTGAAATAGTCATCTGTAATCTACAGATGAAGAAGCAGGAGGTAAAGACTGACAGGAATACACAGCTACTAACTTATCAAAGCCACAACTCTGACAGGTCTGTAGAATGTTGCCTTGAATCCCAAATGGTCGGTTGCCTTTCTTTATAAGATCTGAGTTGGGGCTGGAGAGATGGCTCAGCTGTTAAGAGCACTGGCTGCTCTTGCAGAGGACCTGGGTTCTGTTCCCAACACCCACATGGCAGCTGACAACCATTCCCAGCTCCAGTTTCAGGGGATCCAACACCCACTTCTGACATTCTTCTGACTTCCGTGGGCATTCTACAATATGGGTACACTTGCATACATGTAGGCGATACATTCATACACACAAAAAAATATTTTTTTTTTCAAAAAAGGATATGCGCCAAGCATGGTGGCACATACCTTTAATCCCAGCACTCAGGAGGCAGAGGCAGGTGGATCTTGGTGCGTTTGAGGCCAGCCTGGTCTACATAGTGAGTTCCAGGCCAGCTGGGGCTATAGGAAGACTCTGTCTCAAAAAGACCCAAAAAAAAGATCCGAGTCAACTCAGCCAAGCCTTGTAAATCCTTGTTTGGATTTACTCCTTATGTTAAATAGAACCTCAAGTTTGTTCTAACAGTTCCTTTTCTGCCTCATCTTTCTAGTTACTAGGAAGCACTTAGGTGTGTTAAGTATGGTAAGGACACCAGCGCAGATCTGTTTATAAGTTGGCTGTTTCACACCACAGTGAATATTCTAAGCACTTGACCATTATGTACTGATAAACTGAGAAAAATGCTACCCGTAAATTAGAGGATGTAGAAGGTGGGTAGTGATGAAGGGAAGTGAAATAACAGTTAACTTTTCCTTTAGAACCTAGGCAGGGAATGCTTTTGGCCTTGCATGGTTTGGGGGTTTTTTGTTTGTTTGTTTGTTTGTTTGTTTTGGTGTTTTTTTCAATGTAACTTTACAGCAGAATGATTTTGTATTATTGTGTTTCCAAAGCAAGAGAGACAGAGAGTTGTGCAGCAGTATTGTCCTAGCAGTGGAGACTATCAAAGGTAAAGAGCAGCGTGTTTCCTCCTCTGTCTGTGATAGGGCATGCTATTTCCAGAGACCACATTGTTCACCTCAGGGTGCTTGTAAATATGTTCATGTTTATATAGTTCCTAAAATGATTACTTCTTCAGGACTTAATGGCATACAGCTCAACACACATGTGCTTTAGCTTGCTCAAGGCCCTGGGTTCAATCCCTAGTACCTCTGCGTGTGGGTGCGGGTGTGTAGTACCTCCAAAAAATCATGCGTATGTTTATGTATTCATATATAAATGTATTAGAGAATATTGGAGCATTTATTTTCTTTAAGCTGGATAGAGATCCTTTATTTAAATTGATTTTTATGCATTTTTAAGAGTAATGACATCTTGCATGTTGAAAGTGATATAACTGAATGCCTTCAGGTATTAATAGCCTATGCTGTCTGCTTTCTTGACTATGTGATTCTTTTTGGAGGAAACAGTCCAGAGTTACATTTCCACAAATAGCCCTGCTGATCCAAAGATCCTTGCTCATGCTGTGTTGTTATAGATTTCCTGTAAGGACTAGACTTTGACGATTAGACTTCAAAATTAGCCAGTCAGTTTTCAGTTTCATGGTAGCATTAAGAAAATTATGGCCTGTTTACATTAGAATATTCTGATTATTTAAAAAAAATACTCTGATTGTAACAGCAGTCATAACTTCTGGAAACAGGCCTTCAAACCAGAAGCACTGTCACTGACTTAAGTATTCATTCTGTTGTATCTAGTACAAATATGCTTTTAAAATTCATATTATTACAGTTCAGGACCAGAAGACGACTTTGAATCTTGTTTGAGAAATGTAAAGTCACAGTATGAAGTTTTTCGAAGTAGTAGTAAGTATTTTAAAATATTCTCTGTACATTTTCAATTTACTTTTTGCCACATTAAGCAGATCATTGGAAATCCCAGCTTTTTTTTCTAATGCCCTTCAGTATGTATTAACCAGATAAGTCAGTTACCTAGTTATTAATTATATAGTATTAGCACTCCTTTAAAAAAAGAGCTGGAACAAAGGAAAATCTCCATGTATTTGAATTTATTCCCTCTTCGCGATTTATTTTCATCTATTTTGATTTCATCCTTCCCCAGAAAAGCAGAGACAGGAGGAAGTACTGCACAGTGCACTAGTGTTCTTATTATGCATTTCTTTTTAAGATTAACGTTATTCTTCAAAAATCAAAACTGGGCCTGGGGAGATAGCTCAGTGGTTACTTTTCCAGAGGACCCATGTCAGGTGGCTCACAACTGCCTGTAACTCCAGCTCCAGGGCATCTGATGCCCTCTTTTGGCCTCCTCAGCTACCAGCACACACACGCACACAGACTTAAATACGCATTGATATTTTTAAAAGCAAAAATGTTATATTTGGAGACTTTTGAGAACGTAGGCTGCCTTTCCTGTTTTGTCTTTTTTAAGTTTTGTTTCTCAGCTTTCTCTGTAACTGACTGCTGCTTCCCATTTGAAGCATTTACAGTTTAAGTTTGCATGGTTGTGTCCTTAGCTGACCAAAGGGAAGTCTCTACATTGCTCCTAATGGAAACCTGCTGCTGTAATGGTTTTAATAACTGTTTTTGTTGAAGTTTAGAGGACTAGTAAGACTTAGGGAGACATTTGTTACCCCGCAGAAAAATAGATATTGAGATGAAACAACACGAGTGGTGTTTCACTGTACTTGGTGTGTTCCAGGACTGTCATCTGATGCCACAGTATTGACGCCAAATACCGAGAGCAGCTGTGATTTAATGACCAAAACCAAATCAACTAGTGGAAATGATGACAGCACATCTTTAGATCTGGAGTGGGAAGATGAAGAAGGTGTGCTGTAATTCAGTGTCACCTGGAACGTTACAGTCATCCTGTGTTGGTCTAACGTCTTCTGCCATGTATTTGATGTTCTGTAAACTGAGTGAATGCAACCCATCAAAATCATTATCAGATTTTCTTAAACTACTGGGGGTTAAAACATTGTGTGTGTGTGTGTGTGTGTGTGTGTGTGTGTGTGTGTGCGTGTGTGTGTGTGTTTGTGTGTGTGTGTGTGCGTGTGTGTGTGTGTTTGTGTGTGTATGTGTGGAGGTCAGAGGACCATTCTCGAGAGTCCACTCTCTACCCGCTGGAGGGCTTGGGGATTGGGCTCTGTTGTGGTGCTTTGCACCTTTACTGGCTCAGCCATCTTGCCATCAGATTCACTATCAATTAGCAGTTTAACTCTTGGATTGTTTTTGGTAGAGCAGAAGCTGTTGCACAGATACAGTGTTGAGTCTTCACTAGTCTGTCTCCCAGTCACACTAGGCAAATTACTTAATCTCAGCAAGTCGCAAGTCACAGTTTGTTCGTTCTCACAAGGGAAGAATAAATCTACATAGAACTTCATTCTTCCTGTTTTATGTACTCGAGGACACATACTAAACGATACAGTACTTGAGTAAGGCAGGTAATATAGCTCAGCGGTACAGTGCTTGCCTAGCATGTGCAAGGACCTGTGTTTGATCCTTAGCATACAAAAAAGAAGCAAGAGTAAACAATTTAAAAAATAAAAGATTTGGGTGGACTGAGTACTGTGTAGATTAAATATATAAAAATGCTTAGTGCAGGGTATGGCACATGTCCTAGTTTGTTTCTCCATTGCTCTGACAAAACACATTGACCACTACCAACTTGGGGAGGAAAAGGTTTATTTGTCTTACATTTCCCAGGTCACAGTTCATCAGGGAGCCCAAGGTAGGAACTCAGGGCAGGAACCTGGAGTCAGGAGCTGGAGCACAGGCCATGGAGGAACGCTGCTCACTGACTTGCTTCCCTGGCCCCTGCTCAGCCTGATTTCTTATACAACACAGGCCTACCTGCGCAGGGGTGGTACCACCCACAGTGGGCTGGGCTCTCTCACATCACACAACAATCAAGACAGTGCCCCATGGACATGGCCACAGGCCAGTCCAATGAAGGCAATTACCCAATTGAGGCTCCCTCAACCCAGGTGTGTCAAGTTGACACTAAAGCTATCCAGCACGGCACACGGGTGCTAAACATTTAGTGTAACTAAATTTTTTTTTTTTTTTAATACTGCTTCACTGACTCAAATTTTCATTTTCATGTTAAGAAGTAGGCAATCCGAGAATGAACACTAAATTATAGAATATAGAATTTAAAGAAAAATAGTAAGCTTTAAGTAGTTCACAGAATTTCAAGGTAGGTATCTTAGATACCCTTTAATCAAGCTAATCTGTTTTGTCAATAAAACCAGATAAGAGCTTCATCAAAGGTGGCATTGGCTTGGGCCATCTCCTCAGGGAAGCCCACCTCCCCAGCCCTCTACTTACATTAGTGCAGATTAATCTGCATTCCACTTAAATTCATTCTGCTTCTAGGATCTTGTTCATATTGTTTTTGTTTTGTTTTTTTTGAGACAGGGTCTCAGTATGTAGCACTGGCTGACCTGGACCTCCCTATGTTGGCCAGGCTGCCCTCTCCCTTCCAAGTGCTAGGATTAAAGGCATGCACCACCATGCCCAGCATTATTCAACCCTTTTAATTACTTATTCTGTTGTTATTTATAGATAATTCAACTTTTCTGGTTCATTATTCAGTTTCTTAGCAGAGTTGTTCTGCTAGAGCAGGCAGAGAAGTCCACTGAAAACCCACTTCTAAGTTAGTGTGCAGTGTAGTGTCCTTTACAAATAGAAAACCATGGAAACAAATTCATTGCATATAAAGCCATATGATTACATTAATATTCCAGTGCATCTGTTCTTTGTGCGTGTGAATATGTATGTGCATGCATGTGTGTGTCTACATGTGAAAGCCAGAGGTCAGCTGTCTACCTTGTTTTTTAAGAAATGGTCTCCGGGCTCGACAATTAGGCTAAACTAGCTCCATTGGAGCCCCGGCAATCTGTATCTGCCTCTCCAGCTCTGGGATGACAAGTGCCACTATGCCTGGCTTTTTACATGAGTACGAGGATTCAACTTATGTCCTTGTACTTGTGTGGCACATGCCTCACCACCTGAGCTGTCTCACCAACCCCAGCTCCTATTTTATGAGTCCTTATGAGTTAAAATAACTTGTTTTACTAAACTGAGGCTTTGTGGTTTAGTTTTGTTTTGTTTTGTTTTGTTTTCAGAAATGACAGGCAACAGTGATAGAAATCTTAAATATCCTTTTCATTTTCTTTACTGTGCAATATGATTCTTTAAGGCCGGAATATAAAGTCATTGACTGTATCTATTCTCTTGTTATCTGTCTGCCAGTCCTAGATTTCAGTTCTGTTAACAGAACTGAATGTTGACTCTGCACTTAGAAATTTAAAGATTTCTGTCCTCTCTTCCGCCCATCTGCTAATAAAATGACATGTTTTTCTTAGAGTTTTGACACTTTGATTTTACCAACAACTTTTGTTCAGAACTAGATCTAGAACTCTTTCTTCTAGAAACATCTATATCTGTTGTAGTGGAGGAGAGGGCCATGAGAGCACAAACTTTGGAGCCAGACTGAGTGAATTAAAACTCAGTCCTGTCTCGGATGTAGCTCAGTGGTAGTGCCTGGCATTCAGGAAGTCTTGGGTTCCACAGGAAGTAAGTCCTGGGTTCCATCCCTTCACCACCTTATAGCTACGTGACCTTGTGCTCTGTGTACCTTTCTGCCCCAGTTTCCTTAAGTCTAAGACTGGCTTCATGATAGAACTGTGCTTAACTTCATACAGTTGGTGAGGATCATTCCACGATATTATATATATATATATATTCATCAGGAAGTAGGAAGTACTAGAGAAGCATGTTGTCCTTGTCTAGGAAATGCTGCAGTCATTGGTGAGGTAGGACCTGGGCAAAGATACCAGTTTGGCCTCAGGAGACTAATAGCAGTGAAAACCTCTGTCCATCTGCTGTGTTTGATTTGGGACTCAGGAGTCTTCTTAGCAGATGATCAGCATTGAGTCAAGATTGCTCTTTTGTGTTAAGGACTCATTTTTATCTAAAGTATATGTCAAGATTATATCACAGATTTTTCCCTTAAGAATACTAATGGCGAGGCTGGAGCAATGGCTCAGCAGTTAAGAAAACTGGTTCTTCTTGCAGAAGACCGGGTTTGAATCCCAGCACCCACATGGCAGCTAACAAGTGTCCGTAACTCCAGTCCCAGGGGATCCAACAGCCTCTTCTGACCTCCGTGGGCATTGCAGGACATGGGTGTACTTACCTACATGCAGGCAATACACGAATACACATAAAATAAAAATAAATAAAATGTTTTAAAAAATAATGGCATCGTAAGTTAAGTCACAAATCAAATCTTGAGTCAAACAATAACTGCATTGTGAAACTGATGAGTCTTTGAGTGTAGCTTTTTATCCTGAGTGAGATTTCTTTAAATGCTGTTCTAAAACCCTAGGAATAAATAGGATGCTGCCAATGAGAGAGCGTTCAAAGACAGAGGAAGACATTCTCCGGGCAGCACTGAAGTACACCAAGAAGACCGGAAGCAACCCAGCGTCGGCCTCTGATGACTCTAACGGGTTGGAGTGGGAGAATGACTTCGTCAGTGCCGAGATGGATGACAATGGCAATTCTGAGTACTCTGGGTTTGTGAACCCCGTGTTAGAACTGTCAGATTCTGGTGTCAAGCAGTCTGATACAGAACAACAGATTCGATAGGATGGAATTGTGTGACCTCAGTTCTGACCAAATGTTAAAATCAACTGGAATGTATAAATGACACCAAGAGTAAGAACCCATGTTATAAACACTACAAGAAGGGAACGGGGAGGGGGGCCGCATGCAGCTGGAAGCTTCAGGGTCCAGTGCAGTTCAGTGGCTCTTCCGTGCTGTCAGCTCAGTCTGTTGCAACTCTTCGTGGCGTTCTTCCTCACCTCTGTCAACGTTTGCATTTTAAATCTCTATTAGTTTTACTTTGCTTTCCTAAACAATCCTACTTTATTATGTAACTGAAAGTCTTATTTTTCATTCTCAGCAGATGTGAAGGGGACATGAGCAGGGATGATTGCACTTCAAATGCTGTTCACTTTTCCAACATTATTTACTTTGATGACATCTTAGAATCTTGTTGGCTGTTAGTAAATACAATTTGAGGTGAACCCCAAAATGTTGATGTATTGATTGGTGTCTTTTGACTCATAATCCTAATACAATGTTCATTCAACTTGAACAAAAGATGCTAGGATTAAAATAAACTTCAGAATTTGGATAACTTAAGTTGATAATAATTAAAAATAATACTTAATGGGACTGTAGAGATGGGTTAACGATTAAGAGCACTGGCTCCTCTTGCAGAGGACCTGAGTTTGGTTCCCAGCATCCACATGGCGGCTATGAACCATCCTTAACTCCATTTCCAGGGGAATGCAAAGCCCTCTTCTGACCTCCACGGCATTGCATGGCATGGGTGCCCTTACATACATAATTGATATCTTAAGTTTTTACTCATTTTTTAAAATTCTATATATCCAATGAATAATCTTTGAAAGATTTTACATAGCAAGTATTAGACAAGTGTTTTTTTAAAAAAAGATGATACGGGTATTTCAAAGTAAGTAAAGTCCTTTCTGATAACGAAAGGTTCTATTGCTTTTATTATACTTTATTTTGCCTTGTGATACAAGGTGCTTTATGGGATAGAACAAATATCAATATAGTTAAGGCTGTATTCTGTGACACACTTTTCCCCAAGTCTGTGAATCACTATGAAAGGCCAGGGCTAGCAAGCCCCCCACCTGCATTCCTTGATTTTGCTGAAGACTGAGTGTCACTCTAGTAAGCACACTGCCGTCTGGGTGTTCGTGCTGTGTTTTTCTCTCTTGTCTTGCAGCAGTGACAGTGCACATTCTCAATGATACAGAAAGGTCCAGGTATCAATACTAAAAGTTCTTGCTGTATGTAAAAATTCATGTGGCCCCTTTAAACTGCTACACAAATGGTATCTGTAGTTTTTTGTCATATTTTTAATTTCATAGAAATAAATATGACACTTTTAATATGTAAATATATATTCGGTAATGCTATTATTTATATGTCTTAAAATTTAAATTGTAGCCGTGTCACTGGAAATAATTTAAAGGTACTCTATATTCACATTGCCTGTGTCAATGCTTTTTAAAGTTTATATACACCAAATGTATATTTTTGGTTTGGCATAAGCTACTGTTGTAATTTTCTTGGCTTTTTGTTCATAAAAATTTTTTGAAGGAATGGTGACTTCTCAAGGATTGTGAATAAATGCATTTTTACATTTAAAGATAAATTATTTGATTATTACTAGTTTTACTCCATAAAAGTACAGCTACTATGACTTTTGGCCAATAAATATTTGACTAAATGAAAACAAAAAGGAATAACTTAGGAGACTGGAAGTAAATGTAAAAATATGCTTCACCTACCAAGAAAAGTCTACAGATGTTTTGCTTTCTGTTTTTAAAATGCTAGGAATAACATTTGATTAGCAACACTGGAGAATCCGCTGCATGTGGCAGTGAGAGACCTGGCAGTAAACACATACAAGGCTCATGCCTCTTGCTTGCTGTTCCAGTAAGAATGGTCATGACATGGATGTGAAAGGCACAGACCAGTTAGGAAATACACAAGGCGGAGTAGGGCAAGGTGACTAGGCCGAGAGTGCTCTCCATGGGTCAGGGGAGCCTTTCTTGAGCAGATACTTGTTCTGAGTCCTCGTTGACTGGGCTGGGAAGCCTGATTAAACAGGTTATTGGAAAAGAGAACATGTAGGAAGTTCCTAAAGAAGAGAAGGAGTTCGACACGTTTAAAGAATAAAAAGATCTTGGGGCTGGAGAGATGGCTCAGTGGATAAGAGCACTGGCTGCTCTTTGCAGAGGACCCAGGTTCAATTCCCAGCACCCACATGGCGGCTATGAACAGTCCTTAACTCTGGTTCCAGAGGATCTGACAGCCTCTTCAGACCTCCACGGCATTGCACAACACAGGAGCACTCATATACATTACAGGCAATACACTCATTCACAGAAAATAAAAATAATAAAAGAATCAAAAGGTCTCTGGGGCAGAAGCATTGTAAGGAAGCTAAGGGCTGTGTACAAACACAGTTTTGCAGGCCGTGGTCAGGAGTAACGTTGACCCATAATAGAATGCCCCTGACATTCTGTGTAGTGCTCAGATTTGCATTTTCAAAAGGTTGTTCTGGCTGTTATATAAGGACTGGGTTGTAAGAGGGCTGTAGAGATTGAGTCAGTTTAGAGGCAGTCAGTAGGAGTTTCTGTTGAGAGTGTGGGGGAGAGCAAGGGTTAACTCAGAAACTCGCTCAGTACACCTAGTCCATCTAGGCAGGACTAAGCTGATGCAGAGCTTGGCAAAAAGCCAATTTTGTTGGGAAACTGGGATTTATGAGTTGCTCCCATTGGGAGTATCAAAAGTATGTGCCTGTGTCTGGGGTTGTTGATAGGTATATTAGTTACGTGTCTTACTGCTGCAATACCCTTGCAAAAGCAACCTAAGGGCAAAAGGGTTTATTTTGACTCACTGTTTTGAATATACAGTCCATGGCAGGGAGGTCTTGGTAGCAGGAACAAAGCCACTGGTCACAGTGCACCACAGTCGGGAAGCAGCGATGAGGCTGTGTCCAGCCAGCTTTCTCCTATCTGTGTAGTCCCAGACCCCAGTCCATAGCTTGGTGCCATTCACGGTGAAGATGGATCTCCCCAGTCAGTCTAGATAATCCCTTTCAAGTATATCCAGAGACTAACCTAGTCTATACAGTCCCTCACAGGCATGCCCAGAGGCTTGTCTCCTAGGTGGCTCTAGATCCTGACGAGTTGACATCAGCCACCCGGTAGGTAAGTGGCATTTTTAAGTCATACTATCTTAGGTCTCCCAGAGAAGGGTTGTAGGCAGCGAAGTCCAGCAACTCTCATGGTCACCTTTAAGCAACTGGGAAAGAACCAGACCAGGGACCCAAAAATGGGGTCACAAAAGCCAGGGAAGATAAAAGGTCACCAGCATCAAATACTTTGTAAAGGGGATCAGTGAGGTCAGGGGACAGGAAGGCTGATGAGTGTCACACAAATGAAGTGAGGAGGGCAGGAGTCAGCCAGTGTAGACACTTTACTGGAAAGTTTTGCTATCAGCAGAAAAATGGAGTAGCTGGGGGTAGAGTTAGGAAGGGATCCAAAGATTCTACAGATTGTTTTAATGCCTCTCAAATTAGGTAATTCAAAGTTGTGGCCTTGTTTTGTTTTCAGTAACTGGATAAATATTTTAGCAGAGGGCAGACTTCATTTTAGAGATCTTCATTCATTCAGCTAATTCCTAAATCCTAGAAACCTCTACAGAGGAAATTAAAATTTAAGACTATTGATGTGAATATTTTATTATTACAAATTATTTGGAGGAGATCTTTTTCCTGACACCTAGACATTATAATGTCCTTTGTTTTGTTTACTGTGCTTAGCTGAACATTCTAAAATGTTTTCAATATAGCCAAGTGACATTGTCATAAAAGGCACTTTGACCTAAGATGAAGTTCCATTACCACAGCTTATGACTGTCTAACCCCAGAAGCTTCCTGTTTTACCAGATTTCGGTTTCAGAGCAGTGACTTCACCAACACTGCAGTAGCAAGACTGGAGCTCACCTCTCGTTCCTTGGGCTATTCCATCAGGAAGAAAATGAACCACCAGCAGAGCTGAAGCCACTGTTCCCATTGGCTCCCAAAACGCCTTGGATCTTAAGAGGTGAGGTGTGAGGAAATAATACTTTCCTGTAGGCTGAATAGCAGAGTGGTGAGCTACTGGATCAAGAGCGACTCAGACCAACTAGAAGCCCTGAATTCCAGCCATGCTTTTCATAGCTGTTGTCCTGAGTCACCACCTGCAGTGGAGAGTGATGGTTGTTATCCTGCTTCACACAATAAAGTGGTAATCACACCTGTTACTTAACAGGTGACAATACAAGGAGCAAGGTAGGACAAGTAGGACAAGCAGTGTGGCCATGAGGTACGTGGAAGCAGCTCCCACCTAGACTGTTAGCAGTGTAGCTGACTAAGATTATGGCCAGCTTTTCTTCAAGATATACATCTTATCTGCACATCTAAATTGTTTTACAATTACGTTTTACAGTAAAGCACAAGCAAACATACACATCTTACTTCAGTGAAACAAACGCCGTTCACGCTAGAGCTTGTGCATGTCAGTCAAGGCACTGGATATAGAAACAGGTTTCTCTATAAAGTGGTTATAAAATCATATGTCAGGGGCCGGCACCATGACTGGGTAACAGTGCTTGCCTAATGACCTGGGACCCACGTGGTGGAAGGAGAAAACGGACTCACACAAGTTGTCCTCTGATTTTCACATGGGCACCCCACTCCTACCCCACATATAAATACGTGTAATAAGATCTTTTGTTTTGATTTTCATTTTTGCTTTTTTTGACACAGGGCCTCACTATGTAGCCCTCGCAGCCCTGGAACTTGCTATTGTAGACCAGGCTGGCCTGGAACTCACAGACATCTGCCTGCCTCTGTCTCCCAAGGGCTGAGATTAAAGTCATGCACCACCATAGCTGGCCATAATTTGAAAAAAAAACAAAACAAAACAAATCATATGCTAGGGACTGAAGAGATGGCGTGGCAGCTAAGAGTGAGAACTGCTCTTTGAGAGGGCCAGTGTCCAGTTCCCAGCACCTCCATTGGGTGGCTCGCAACCACCTGCAACCCCCACTCCCAGAGGATCTGATGGCCTTTCTGGCCTTTGCTGGCACCTCCATTCATGTCACATACCCACATATAAGTACACATATAATCTTAAAAATTAAATCATTTGGGGGTTTCGAGAGATGTGCTTAGCAGTCAAGAGGACTTGCTCCTTTTGCAAAGGACGTGGGTTTGGTTTCCAGCATGTACATGGTGGCTAACAACTGTAACTCCAGTTCCAGGGGATCCAACACCATCTTCTGACCTCTGTGGGCATTGCACAACACGGTTGCACTTAAATGTGTGCAGGCAATACTCATACACATACAATAAAATTAAAATAATAAACATAATTTTAAAAAAGGGAAAAAGGCTTTTTTCTATGTGGGCTCCTATCAGGACAGCTGTTTCTAATATTGACCACGTTACCTATGAAGAGTTAATTGGTCTCACCTTACTCGAGCTGCCCCTTTCTAGGAACTAAACTAGGAAGATCCAGTCTCTGAGTGATTAATATGTACAAATTTTAGAAGCTGGGTGGCTGTGTGCAGCCGTTGGCATGGAGAATGCAGCCACCGTGCGCCAATGAGCAGGGCTGGGCAGCCATCTTGGCTGGTCTACTGCAGGTCTTCCTTTTGTCCAGTGCGATGCTATGGTTTCCCTCTAATGATCCCTTTTGTGTTTGGCTAGCTCAAGTAGAGGTTTTGTGGTTTCTCATTCATAACCAGAATGCTACTAAGCTATTTCTCTTTATTACCTATTAGAATCAGGCTCAGAAAGCATTTCACTTCTTTGGAGGATAGTGGTTTCTACTTAGCAGCCCACTCTCTCCTTTGCTAATCTGTTAACAGCAAAATAGAATTAAAGTTAATGTTTCTCAACTTAAAACCCTTCCCAGGACATACATTAGGAGAAATCATTAACTATTTTATAAACATGAGGCTATTCAGGCCCTAAATATTGCCTAACACATCATTTAAGTTCTGTTAATGATACAGGAATTCCTTAATGCTAAAACTTGACAATTTTATAATATATCCATCCGCCTCAAAGAGAAGGGAAAATGGCTTCCAGAATAACCAAAATGTCACATTACCTACACATTAAAATTTATATACATCACTGTAGGCAGTCTTTGCTACAAGACACTTCACACAATAAGCAGTTCTGACAGGCTAGATGTTCTGGTTTGCAAATCCACATCCAACAAGGTTCAGTGCTAGAGAAAGATAATGTGTAACAAAGGCCATTCATTGGTAAGAAGTGACAATAGCTAACCTTCCATCCGAAGGGGGGATGTGTTTTCTCTTTACTGCTGTTAACAAATTGCTGTAATTTAGTAATTTTCAGCCAAGATCTATTGTCCAAAAGTTCTGTAGGTCAGAGGTCAAACGCAGGTCACTGCACTAAAGATGCCCATAGGACTTGGTTTCTCCTGAGCTTTGCCTTTTCTAGCTGCCGCACACATTTTCAACTTTCAAAAGGCTTCTGCATTCCCTAGTTCGTGGCCTCCTTCCTCCCTCTGTAATGCCCTCACCAGCAAGCCAAGTCCTTCCCTTCAATCTTTTGTTCTGCCCTCCTGCTTTAAGGACCCTGTAATTAGCTGGGTCCAGGATAATCCAGGATAATCGCTTTAATTTAAGATCAAGGGTGAGCAATCTTTATCTAGAGCCTTCTCTTCCTTTGCTGTGTCACGACACGTTCACAGGTTCTGGGAGCTAGCACATGGACACCTGGACACTTGGACAGACCATTACTTTGCTTGCTAAGGAGTCACTAGGAAAACAAGACACCCGAAACAGTCACTTGGGGCACTTAGCATAGAAATAGATAACTTTATCCATGGCAACAGTCCCAGGGCTGGGGAGGCAGCTGAGTGCTTGGTGTCACACTTCACAGGCTAGGAGTAACTAACTGGTGGTCATGCTAGGAATAACCTTCACGTGATACCAGGCCGAAAAGCTTATTAGAAATACTTAAGAAAAGTTGTAGGAATATAGTTATATTAAACTGGCCATGGTGGTGCACATCTGTAATCACAGCATTCAGGAGGCTGAAGCCTTAAGATCACAAGTTTAAGCCCAGCTTGGGCTTCATAGCAAGACCCTGTCACAGAAACAAAAATGAAATATGTATAATTTTTTTTTCAGAAAACTGTTCACTTTAATTTAGCTAAAAGAAGTTCAATAAGAATCTTCTAAACAAGTACATCTTTATGTGAAACTAAAATTTTAAAAATATTTAAGCATTCATCATTATACATATTTGCATATACTTATCTAGAGCAACCTAAGAACAACAAAAAAAATGTTTTTGGAAGGTTTCAAAGAAATGGTTAAGGAACTAAATTCTGACTTTATTATAAACCTAGATGCTGTTGAAAATTTTCATTTCTGTAAATTTTTTTTTGGTCTTTTTGAAACAGGGTCTCCCTGTAGCCTCAGCTGGTCTGGAACTCAGTATGTAGACCAGGCTGGACTTGAACTCAGAGACCTGCCTGCTTCTGCCTCCCAAGTGCTGGATTAAAGGCATGTGCCACCACATCTGGCTCAATTTCTGTAATTTTAAAAAGTGTAAGAGACATAAAATCATTCTCACTTTCGTAGGAAAATAATTTTAGTCACAGTGTTCTTTAAATGTTTAAGTGTTAAAGACCTAAAGGTCCTAAATACAGAAAAAGGGAACTGCCATCCTAGGGATAAACATGGAAACTGCATAGATAGGATATCAACGTGTTATTTCCCAAGTATTTCCATATTAAAACCACAGTGACACACCGCCAGTTGCCTGGAACACATTGTAGGACTCTGGCTCTACAGGTATTAACATGCCACTGACACCAGTTAATCTGCCCCAAACCTTGATCTTGAAAACCAATGGCTGCTACAAAATGACATGACCAAACCAACTGATGGCCCATACCAAAAGAAAGGATGGGAGTGCCATCAGGCAGGGAAAGAGAAGCCCGACCTTACTACACAGATGTGCTTTATACACTTAGTTCTTGGCAGACCAAGGGATACAAACAGCTAAGTTGATGACTAACAGACTTCCAAACCTATTACAAAATCCAAAACTTAGCATGGCAGAAATTCATGATGCACTACACTAATAAACTGACAAGCAGAATGTCTCTGACGTGTCTACAGACATGCCGTACATGTTCGTGTCTCTCCCTGGTCATAGCTCATTTTCATCCATTTCTGTGGGAGAGATGCTTTCGGTAAGATAGGATGAATAGCCGCCATCCTCAGGTATGGGATTCTGTGGTGGCCAGTTGTTTTCTTGCAAGAGTGGTCTTGAGGACAAAATAAGCTGAGTCTCAAAAGAGTCCACTGACTCTCCATCTTCCTTCTCCAAAAGGAACTGGTACTCACCGAATCTGACCATGCACCGGTAAGGCAGGTCAATTTTATTGAGGTAGCCCAGCTCCTGATTGTCCACGATTAGACTAGTCTTCTTACTCATATTTTTAATTTCAAAAGAGAGAACTGAGCTGTTAACCTGTTTGAATGGCTGTAGAGCGAACTGAACCCGGGAAACCTGTTTGTCTTGAAAAGTGTAGTGACAGATGTTGGAATTCCGTCCAAATTTCAACACTTCAATGGAGGAGAATTTCTCTCTGTTGTAAAACCTTATTGACTGAAATACTCCCCTTTGCAACTGGCCAGGATGGTAAACAGTCATCTGCAGACAAGTTACCGTCTCTTCTGTGTCGGCATCTTCAAAGTTGGACATGCTCCCGACCTGTGACAGTCAAACCACCAAGTTAGTTCAACCCATGTTGCCAGCGCTAAGAACTTCCATTCTGAAAATCTATTCCATGATTCAAAACTAAAATCAATAGACAGAACACTTTCCATTAACCAAATGTGTAAGATTATATGAAACTCCTCCCGCGCTTTTGATTCCCTTTGACCATTCACATCATCTGGACCAAAAGTCCAGATTCACGGACTTGGGGGAGTACAGAGTACAGCCTCGACTATATTGACATTCGTTCCATCCTTTAATCCTTGAGAGGCACAGGTAGGAAGATCCTGAGTTCAAGTCTAGCCTGGGCTACCTGTTGAGACTGTATCAAAAACAAGCAAACAAATTATTTTTGGTTTGAATATCCTCAGAGGATCTATACAAAAAGAAAAGCTATTAATTTAAGAAACTTTAAAGTTAGAAACACATTTTTTGTTGTTTTTGTTTGTTTCTTTTGTTTTTTAATGTTTTAAAAAACAAAAATTTTATTTATTTTTATTTTATGTGTATGAGTTTATTGCCTGCATGTACATAGTGCACCACATGCATGCAGTGCCCACAGAGGTCTGAAGAGGGTGTCAGATTCCAGGGAACTGGAGTTACAGACAGGTGTTAGCTGTCATGTGGGTGCTGGGATTCAAACCTGGGTCTTCTGCAAGAACAGCCAGTGCCCTTAACCACTGAACTAGCTCTCCAGCCCCTTTTAGTTTTTTTTACAAGGTCTCCCTAGTCCCCGCCCACCTAGACCAGGCTGGCCTCAGTCTCACAGAGATCTGCCTGTCTCTGTCTTCCCAGGGCTGGGATTAAAGGCGAGCCACCATGCCCAGCATTTGACACTATGTTTTTAACAAACCTCCATGAGGTAGACTAAATATCATAATCTCCACTGGTACTAGAGTTATTTTTGTTCATGGTTTGTTATGACTGACTGGACAAACAGTTATTAACCACAATAGCTCCATCTCCCCAGCGTTAGCTCATCCTTAGAGCCCGTGGCCTGAGATGCCCCCACGTAGGCTTCACTACATATAGTACTACTGTAGTACTGGAGGGTAGAGTACTTACAGGATAGAACTGGAAAGGAACATTAGTTACTAACATTATTCTGAAGTTATTTTGATACAGAACTGCCAATTAAAAGCTAACAAGTTTTAAAACTACGTTCATGTAGCTTAAAAATTCAAAAAACAAAGCATTTGAAAGCAAGTCCAACCCCAATCTTTTATTTTTCCCTCCTAGAATAAACCACTAGTTTTAATAACTAGCGTCTACACACAAGCAAGCACGTGCGTGCACTGACACACACACACACACACACACACACACACACACACACACACGCTTTCTCCACAGAGGAAATTCTTTCTTACACAAATGGAAGCACATTATGTTTAGTTTTGGATCTTGCATTGTTCAGTTGATAATACACAGGTGTGGCTTTGCCATGGCCGCACATACAAGTGCCCCTCACCCCTCAGCAACTTCAGTAAACACCTTCACTGGCGTGGTTATGCTGATTTAAGACTTGGGGAGCAGCAGTCTTAAATGAAGTTTTACAGTTAAGTAAATTTTAGGGTTTTGCTGGTTTTTGTTTACAACAAAGCAAAAATTTGTTAGTATTAAATTACCATCGATCTTAGATGATGGTTTCAAAACCATACTGGTTTTAAAACAAAAACCAGAATATGTTCATATTGCTACTCTTTGATTTAAATTTTACATTCATAAAGTAACTTTTGGACATTGTCACAGCATAATGAACTGCCTAAAAACATCGAGAGATGTTCAGATGTTAAGTTCAAAAAAAGAGAGAGGGCCCCTCAGAGTCTTGGATTGAGAGGGGTTAAAGCAAATGGATCTGAAGCCAGCAGGAACTAGCATGCAGCAGTTGGGACTGACTAAACTGCTCTACACTATTTGAAGACATTTTCAGCATAATAATAAAGTCACTCAAGAAGTAGACAGCATACATGAGAATCATTACAGGAAGTTGTGCAATGATGAAATTAGCAGTTGATGAAAAAAATTGTGCATTGTTTCCTATATTGTGTGTATAAATGTTTCCTACACTTAAAGCTTTATTGCATCTGCAATTTAAAACATCAAAAGAAGATGAGCTAGAGAGCTGGCTTACTTGGTAAAGTGCTCATCCTGCCAGTGTGAGTACCTGAGTTTGGATCCCAGAACCCACATGAAAAGCTGAGCACGGTGGGCTTGTGCTAGTAATCCCAGGGCTGGTAAGATGAGAGTGGGGCCTGGTGGGTCCCCAGAGCTCATTAGCCAGCTGGCCTAGTCTACCTGGTGATGCTCTAGGCCAATGAGAAACCTCAAAGAAGTAGAAGATGCCTAAGCTACAACACCCAACTTAAGCCTCTGCATACATGTGCACACATACACACATGTACAGACACACACACATGCATACACATATGCACTCACAGTAAATAATTTTCTGATAAGAAACAAACAGCTTAAAATAAGAGTAGAATCCTGTCAGGGGTCTCCAGCTTGGTCTAGGATGTGCTGCCATTCCAGCCCTCCTGAACTGTGACAGGTCCAAAAGAACTCAATCAAAACTCACTGTATATTCTGAATATAGCATATTTGGTAAGAGCTAAATACTGTTTTGTATACTTTATATAACCTATTATTTGTAATTCTGTCTTACCAGTAAACCCACAAAACAAAGTGTCTGAGACCAGAGAAGATGTACTACCAATTATAAGAGGGGGGAATTGGCATTCTAGCTTTAAGTCATGGGCTATGGTAGTCATTTCTCAGGGAGTTCTGCTGTGACTCCTTCCAGCAGACACTGAGGCAGAGTGCCAAATGTTTGCGGCCCCACCTCTCAGGTCTGTCCCTACCATGTCTGACCCTTTAGAAATGACTGGCCACTTTGACACTTTAGATGGCTGCTCCATTCTGTCAATGAGCATGTCAACATGAATGGAACAGGAGTAAAAGCAATGCAGTTTACTTCCCAGCCACTGTGCAGTTTTACCTTCCCACTCAGCCTGGGGTGAGTCCCAGAGGGAGGGCCTGGAGACTGACTCATAAAGCACATAAAATTTGAGCAAGAAAATCCACCCTTCCCTGGGTGGTCGGTGGGACCATTTATTACAGCACCATAAAGTAGCCTGGGCTGATGCAGTCACTGATTTTATGAAAATGAAGTAACAGCAAACTCTGACAATTGTAAGAGCTTCTACTTACTATGCCTTTCATGTGCCAAGTACAATGATACATCCTTTAACCATACCAACTTAATCTTCAAAATAAGCCTATTAATTATCACTTCATGGGTGAGGGAGCTGAATTATAGATGATTTAAAGAACTAGTTCATGGAGCTGGAGAGACAGCTTGGTGGTTAAGAGCATTTGCTGCTCAATCATAAGGACCAGGGTCCAGATCCCAGTACCCTCATCAGGTGACACAAATGCCTGTAACTACAACTCCAAGGGATCTAACACCTTCTGGCCTCTATGGGTATCCACACATACATGTGCACATACACACACACACACACACACACACACACACACACACATAGAAATAATTGTTTGTTTGTTTTTTGTCTTTTTGAGACAGGGACTCCTTGTAGCCTCAGTTGTCCTGGAACTCACTATGTAGACCAGGCTGGCCTCGAACTCACAAAGATCCGCCTGCCTCTGCCTCCCAAGTGCTGGGATTAAAAGAGTGTGCCACCACGCCCGGCCTAGAAATAAAATTTTTTAAAGAACTAGCTCAGGTTTTAAACTATGTTAAAGCCAGGATTCAAATTCCAAAGCACTCTCTCATCATGGCACATACTGATTCTCGGCTAAAGCCACATCTTGCAATTGTAACAGCTAACCTGTAGAGGGGGCCTCAGAAGTGTGTGTGCTGTGGCCAGCAAGATACCTATGCGGACACCAGTGTTGGGGAGGGAAGTGCTGTTAGTACTGCCTCACTACTAATGATGGCAACCCTTAGCACCAGCTTACCATGAATGCCAGTCATCCTTTCACCTGTGTGTGAAAATATGGGCACAGACCTACTATTCACTAGAGACTGTGGCAGATTAGAGAATCCCAATGGTGTACAGTCTCTGACCTCAAGGAATTTAGAAAAGAATCTATTTGTTAATTTCCAGAGGCACAATTCCCTCTACAAGTGGCTCAGATTCCTGGCATTTTTTTAGAAAACTGGAAGCTAATTGTTCTAAAATGATGGATAAATTTGTTTTCTCCCCCATCTAGAAATCTTTGAGAGGGAACTGACACTGATTCTAACCACTCCAACAGCTATCAAAATACCTGAAAGCAAATCCTGAATCCATCACTCTAGAGTCCAGCCTTGGAAGACAAAAGAAAAATAAGGAGGAACCCAATAGAGGGATGCTTTTGGAAGCTCTTGTCAAGAAATTCCAATGGGCTCTCATATGAACATTTGAAAATTGCCCTGTTCTGACTTTTTTTAGTTCCCTGTCTAGAACTTGTAATGCTAATTACTCTTGCCTTTACTTCTCCTTCACATCTCCTATTGATGCTTTCTTTTCCTTCTTAAGATAAGAGTTAGGCAATTCGGGAGTCTTTTAGATAGACCCACTGAAGGGGTATTCCAGTTGCCTCACCCTGCGTCCCTGTTCAGCGTGGAAGAAGCCAGAGCGGTCTGCATCCCGGTTCTTTATTGGCCATTTGGGTAATCTCTTCAGAGGATGGTGTGGTAAGAATAGGAGGTAGGAATTGC